CAGCCGCTACCGGAAACAAATGGCTGTCAAGAAATACTTAGCGGCCGTCCTGGGGAAAAGGTATAAACAAAGAGTTAAAAACAAAGGACGCCGAGTAGCGTATTTGTAGCGATGAGTAACCAGCCACTCCTGTGTATACAAAGTCCTAAGAGAGAGAGAGAGAGAAAGAGAGAGAGAGAGAGAGAAAGAGAGAGAGAGAGAAACCCAACAACAACAAAAAAAATCTAAACAAAAACAAAAAGTCATTTCCAAACTGACTGAACAATCACCGCTCCTGTGTTATCTAAACATGTATTTATGTATGAAGTAAAGCCATTAAATGAATATTTTGATAATAATATTGTTTTTCTTTTGTACAAAAGCACTAGAGAAACGCACAGATCTACTTTGTGGACCAATCATTAAGTTATTTATAATATATAAATATATATATATAAATACTGCTACGAATACTAAAGAAAAATTCTTCATATAAAGCCTGCACAAGAACAAGAATTCGCCTGAGCTGTTTATGTTTTTATATAAAATAAATAGAAAAAAAGGACAATCATTGTTTTGAATATTACTCCTATTTTTGTAACGAAAATTAAAAGGATAGTATTTTTATCCACGACAGGGTCGAAGACATTAATTTTCACCATTTGCTACTGTACATAGAGAAGGATGCCCTGCTCCCAGGGGATTATGAGGAAAATGATTTGGGAGAATTGGTGAAGCAGATTCTTCCCCCGGTGAGTCTCAAGGCAGGCTCCTTTGCCACTAGCCTCTCTGAGGGGGCAGCGTCCTCTTTCCTCTAGATTTCGATTTTTACCCCCCCTCCTGCTTTCTTTGATTCCAGATGTAACTGTATTAGTGCCTCCTCGAACAATGAGCTTAGAGGATAATTCTCTTGCGAAAACAACAGCTCGATCCAAATTGTGCATCTCTGTTGCCTAGTGGAGGGAGAAACAGTTAGAGAAATATTTCCAAAACAACCAAAACCAAACCAAACCAAAACCGAAACAAAAAAAAAAGTCACCCCCCAATCCCTAGATTCAGAACCAGCAGCAAGGATAGTTAAGTACTAAGCCCCGTGCACTGGCTGGCTGGGCAGGGTTGCAAAGCAAAGCTGAAGAGGAGACAGGACCCATTTGGAAAGAGAGGGG